GAGAGAGAGAGANAGAGAGAGAGAGAGAGAGAGAGAGAGAGAGAGAGAGAGAGAGAGAGAGAGACTAAAGGGGAGATCTTGCAGTGCTCGCAGTGAGAGGATAATTCAGAGATTGATTCTCCTTCCTTCATTTATTATATTCTCGTATTTAATTATTGACAAGCGGACCTGCCGCAGCTACGCTGCGGCGAAGGACAATGACAAAAACATTAACACCCCAGCCATCAGTTGGATCCTATCTTTGCAAAGTGCCCCTACTGGACGCTGCCCAACTTTACAAAATGTCCCGGCAGTTGCCAAGTTTTTGTGGGTGCAATTGCAAAAGGCCAAGCGAATTTGCACACCCGCCTGACAGGGGCATAACACAAACATGTCCCCAAAAGGCCATTCTCTCTCTCTCTCTTGCACACCCCCTCCCCCTTGTAACCTCGCAACCTCCTCGTCCTTGCTTGCTGCCCCCTTCTCCCGCTCGCACGAACTCCTCCCCCTGGCACGACCTCCTCCACCCATTGGTAAGACCTTCTCCTTCGCCTCCCGCACGACCTCCTGCAACTTCCCGTTTGCACAACCCATTCCTCCCCCTCCTTGGACCTCCTCCCCCCCCTCGCACGACCTCCTCCCCGCCTTTCCACGATGTGCTCTTCCCCTCGCACATTGTCTTCAGACCTCCTCCTTCCCCTCACATCGGCCAAGGCATCAGCACGTCGTCGGATGCGTTGTGAATTAGAACTATTTTATTGTGGTCGCCGCTGGATTTGAACTCACATCGCCGCAGTTTCATGTGTGCATCAACTGAGCAACCTGCCACTGTGCAAAATGAGAAGGAATCTTCCGCAAGAACATAGGAAGATACACTGCGATGGACAGATACATTGAAAAGAAATCCCGGTGTGTGTATGGACAAAGAAGCTGTCAGATGCAAACGTCGCCGCGTGCGCGTGTGTGTGTGTGTGTGTGTGTGTGTGTGTGTGTGTGTGAGAGAGAGAGAGAGAGAGAGAGAGAGAGAGAGAGAGAGTCTTCCATCCATAGGATGAGCTAAATGGGAATGAATCGGTCACCAGAACATGGAAATATATGTTCTCAAAAAAGAGAAAATTCTTCTAAGGCTTGGTGCTGGTGGCAGCCGGATGTCTTTTTTTTTTCTTTTTTTTTTTTTCTTTTTTTTTTTTAAACCGGGCCCAGTGCCCAAGGCTGATATTACCAATAATAAGATTGAGGCCGGAATGAACATACGGAAACCGCTAATGATGACCATGATGATACTAATGACACTGATAATATCCAAGATAATGATGTTAATGAGAATGATGATTCAAAAATATGAAAAATTAAAGAAAAATATGCTATATCAGCTATTCTGGCCTCCTAATCCTAGAACAACTCCCAGCCCTCCCTATACCAGGACACTGTTCCTCAAAGACAAAACCAACCTAACTAATTGTCAACCATAGCTGATCTCTTCTCGCTTCATTGCAGCCCCCTCTGGTTCACCACTAGACTGCCTTCCACCCTCAGCAAACCCCAGATCTCTCTACAAGGCCTCACGCTCCTGCTATTAACAGGTTACAGGGCAACGCCCCAGCTCCGGCCAGCGTCGTTCTGGCATCAGCAAACCAAGGGCTCAGAACAGAGCAACTCAGTTGAAATCAGTCCAGGTTCAACTGAAGTCCTATGTCCCGAATGTGGAAGAATGCTAGATGCTGCCAAAAACTTCAGAACACCAAAAAGCTTAATATAACAATAATCAGATGATGAAACTAATGGTGTGATGATGATGATGATGATGATGGCAGCGGGTTGTGGTGGCTGTGATGGTGGGACAGGACGCGCTCTGCGGTGAAGGGGCTAGCCTGCAGGGTAGAAATAGGGTATAGCAGCAGTGGAGATGGTGGCTCCACTGGGATAAGACTTTCCGAAGTAGGGCTGAGAAGGTTTTTTTGTGGGATACCTGCAACTAGTGCCTGAAGGATGGATGGTCGGATCTACAGCTATGGCGCTTATTGGTGGCTTGACTGGTACCTGCCGTAGTCCTGAGCCCCGGGGGTTTGCGAATAGACGAGGCCAGGACGACGCTGGTCAGTGCTGGGGCTTGGTCGCGCTGCCCTGTAACTCGAGCTGTACGAGGGCATGCGACCTCGTAGAGAGATCTCGGGAGTTGTCGAGGGTGGAAGGCACTCTAGTGTCTTTTGGTGAACTGGTGCCTAGTCGACGCTGGCCGGAGCCGGGCTGGGTCGCGTTGCCCTGTGGCCTAGCGGGTGGGGGGTTTCTGGGGTGGGTCGTGCCACTCTGTAACCCAGCAGTTGGGGGCGTGAGGCTTGGTAGAGATTGTGCATCGGGGTATAGGGGTGAGGCAGGTAGCGTTGGGCCGCTGAAAGGCACCAAGTCAGGTGGTTTATTCGATCTGAATTCTCCTGTGAGCCAAGGCTCAAAAAACAAAAGGGCCCTTTGAATTTAGTACTGCATAGATGTCTGGTGTTTTTCCATTAGCCCCTTTGGGGCTTTTTCATTAGTACTTGGTGCAAGTTGTTCTCAGAGTTTTCTCAGCCAAAGCCAGGCAATGGCCCCGGTGCTTTCATACTCGTGTATCCTTATATGGGACGCCGGGCCCGGTTCCCAGCACATGTTGCTCCCCACGAATAGATTGGAGCATTTTGTCCCACATTTTCGGTCTCTGGCAGTGTACATTTCCGTGTTGTGGCAGTGGATAATTCCATGTT